ATATATATATATATAATCCTCAAATAATATATGTATGTGTGTGCACGCGATCCATGATATATAAGGATGATTTTGATTAAAAATTAAAAAAAAATTATATTTAGAAATTATAATTATTAAATTAACTACACAAATATTTAAATTAATAAATCTTGATTATGACTTCAACTTGCAAAGAACGAGTTTCAGGAAAAAAAAAGACCTGTATGTGTGTGTGGGGGGCCTTTGGGGGTGTAATTGTGTGATATGTATGCTAATTTAGGAAATAAAATTACAAAATTAAATTTGATTCCTTGCAAAATAATTACAATAAAAAGAAATATTTACCGAATTGCTACATATTTTTATATCTAACATCAAAACTTCAGTATGTGTCTGTCTATATATATATATATATATATATATATATAATACATGACCGTATGCATGAAAAATCTATCATGAAAAATCTATATTTCATTGTTTTTAAAGTTAAAATAGTGATTCTTTTTATTTGATATGAAAGATTTGGGTGATAGAAAGGTAAAGAATAAAATTTATAAGTTAAGTAAATAAATACATAAAATAGAGTGGTGCGTACATAAATGACCCTTAAAAAACGAAAAAAAAAAAAAAAAAAATATTTAAAAAAAAAAAAAAAAATAACAGACAGGTTCAAGAAATCATATCAAATTATATATGTAACCTCATAAGAGCCGTCCTAATGATACAAGGATTAAGAGGTATAGTTAACCCAGCAGCGAAGAATAAAGCCAACTTGTACCAAGCGGCAATGCCAAGACCAACGAAGTTAGCAGTCAAGATCCAAAAATCAACATTAACTTTCAAAAGTGGCTACAACTTTGGAAATATTACGTGCATTGTCCAAATCGTCGGTTAACATTTTCATGTCTCATTAATAATCAAACGCTACAAGTTCGCCGCAGGAGCATCGCACCCCCACCACCCCCCGCCTCCAATTCAACACAGCAGCTTTCGTAGCTCCTACTCGTCCTCAGCTTCCCAACATTCCCCTCACCGCAGCCAAACACACCCGCGCAAATCTCCCGGCTCCACGGCCCCCAAATATCCGAACACCGACAAATCGGACACGTTCCCCTCCACATCAACCACGTTTCAATGCAGCTCGAATGAAACCCATGACCGCACCCTGGAATCACTTTCACCTTCTCCTTATCCGCATACTCCACCAAACACACCGCGCATCCCTCTCCACCGCCACTGCATCGCACCACAGGTAGCGCTGCCACCGCATCAGCATCCAGACATTGAGGCGGCAGGCTACCCTTGATCCTGATCTTGCGCTCGTGCGGAGCGGCATGGCGGTGATTTGTTCGTGGTGGTGGTTGGAGAAGCAATATTGGGCGAAGACGACGAGGGAACATATGAGGAAGAGGGCGACGACGGAGACGAGTACGGTGACGCCGATGCGGGAATGGTAGTCGAGTGAGGTGGTGGTGGTGGTGGAGGAGGAGATTGGGATCGGGACAACGTTGCTGAAATCGGCGCTCATGTGTGCGTTTGTGGAGATCTGTTGTAGTGGTCATAAAATATTTTCATGTTTTAGTTGACGATGATTATAAGAAAAAGATGATTCAGTGGTTATATTTCCAAGAGGTGTTTTTTTTAAGAGATGGATGATAAAGATATGTTAAAAAATTATAGGAATTCTATCCATCAAGAATTCCATATTGGTAGATTTATTATAATTAAGTGTTGATGAAGTTTGAGTTTGTTTTTAAGTTTCTCTTTATGCTTTGGTCATAGAAATCTTCTGATTGTGTTCCCTTACGTTGCATTCTGTAAGTGCTTCATCTTGATAATGCTTAATTTGAGTTCTTAAAATTTTCAATATTTACAGACCACAGGGCAACTTCATTTTTAAAGACCCGGCTTGATAGCATTTGATGAATCTTTTGGTAATAAATGGCATTGGGAACATATT